AAAAAATTCATATCATAACAAAAATAAAAACCAGTATTCGGTACAAAACAGTATACCGCCCAGCACTACAACCAATGGACGAAATCCCTGAAAAGTGTGCTGCGGATCTGAGAGGATGTCGTCGTAAAGCAACTGTGGAGGGAGGGGGGGGCGAATATGGTAAAAGGAGCAAGCTTCACCTTTGTCTTTTACTCGGTCCCGTTGCCTCGAACAATTATACGCACTACAAAAGTCACCTTTCCCCATTGCTATCATTGGAATAAATGTAAACACTCGGCTTGTTTGATGAATGATCCCCCTTTACTTCCAGTGAACGTGTGAAAACTGTGTGTGCATGCGTTACGACTGAAATGTGCGAAAGGTCTGTTGAAACATCATAAAATACACAACATGAAATACAAAATGTACACCATATTAGTCAAAATATCTAAAAATGTAAGACTAAATAATAATAAAATAAAAAAGAAATTCAGATATTAAGTGTGGACTATGTGTAAATGTGGTTTTAAAACTGTCAAATACTTTTTGAAAGTATACTTTACGACAGCTTGACAACAATCCAGAATAAAAAAGAGGGACAGCACTCAATGTTTAGTTACTTCCTAAGATACCAAGACATCTGAAGGAGCCTTTTTTACTTCTCTTTGAGGTGTATGGAGATAATCTGTGGAAAGATCAGCTTAAGTGAATGAGACCTACAGTAACTGTGAGTTTTCCCAGCAGTACTCCATCAGTACCCTTAAATTCCATGAGTGAATTATACATTTTTTCTTTTATGCTTTTTTTYCCCCAGTATATGATTTGTTTGTTTGTTTTTAGCCCATCTTATCAGTTAAACGTGATAGAAACCAGAGCATATTCCCAGAAGGGAGGGAAAGACCTACAGAAAGACACATGATGGAAAATCTTCTTAGCTATATTTCACAGTGGCACAAACAGCCTAGCAGCAGGGAGAAGTAGTGATCCTCCAACAGAAAAGTGACTCCCAGGCTGGAGCTGCCACTGTAAAACAAAGATTGTGTCAAGACGGTAAGACATCTTTTAGGAACACATTATAAATCCAATTTAAGTTTGGTGAAAAAAAAAATACTTTTTTGATTGGCAAATGGCTTATCTGTAACTTTCTCTTTAAAGCTTTTTCATCTTTATAGCTTGCATCATTAAAGATCATTTAAAGGAATTTACAAATTAACATTTATTGGGAGCTCTAACGTATGGCTGGGCGATATGGCCCCCCCAAAAAAATTCACTTTTAGATTTTTTAGATTTTAGATCCTCTTGTCTTTCTCCATGCACTGGTGACAAACTTAAGGCATGTCCAAACATAAAAAAAATTAAGGAGAGGTATAAAAATGTTATTTACAAAAGATATAGGGATGCTGAGTGTCTGATTATTATTTTTACTTTTTATTTAAATTTTTATTTTTGCAATATTTGCAGATATTTGGGGCTGTGTATACAGTGGTTTGCAAAAGTATTCATACCCCTTGAACTTTTCCATATTTTGTCACATTACAAC